ATGCTGCAATATACTTTCTGGACACCAGGTGGCACCATAAGTGGTTCCCAGGCTTATACCTGATTCATGGTTTACCCTGCTTTTTTTGCTGATTGCTTGGCTACCCCTTTGGCACTTAAACCTCCAAGAATCTTCACAGGCTAGTTTCACAGATTCACCCTGCAGTTCCCATGAAGTGCAGGGTATCCTGGACCTGCTTTGTGTGCAGGATGTCTATCTGCAGGTGAGATTCAAATTGCTGCACCTGGCCCATGCGAAAAGGTTCCTGTGGCAGTCTCATTTCTGAAATTTAAAAATATGTCTGCTTCCTGACCTGTAGCCTAGCCCAGGCTGTGCTGCTCCAGATGGGACCCCATCTGACCACCAAATTCTGCTCAGGAGTCCATACTTCACCAATTTTTCCACACAACACCTAGTTTCCCCATGAACTGGGAATTGTAATCTTCCGTAGGGGAGAGGCTCGTTACCACAGCTGCTACCATCTCCCACCACTTCAGCAGCGGCTCAGAGATTTTTCTGGCAGTCTCCGCAGCTCTGGATTACTCTTTGAGTCTGCCACTTCACTGCACACCCCGAGCTGCCTGTCTACACTAATATTCCCTGACACAATCTAGCCCACTCCCTCTCATCTTTTGTTCTGGGAGAGCTGAGCTAAATGTCTATCCCATCCACCATCATGCTCCACCTTCCAGACCCTGCTGTACTGTCAATTTCACTGATCTCAAAATATCTTCACAGGCAGATTTCACAAACTCTCCCTGCAACTGTTCCTGCCAAGTGTAGGGTATCCTGGACCAGATTTGGGTGCAGGATGGCTGCCTGCAGATAAGACTCAAATTGCCACACCTGGCCCGTGGGAAAAGGTGCCTGTGGCAGTTGCCATTTTGGAAATGTCAATAAGTGTCTGCTTCCTAAGCAGGATCCTTCCCCCCTGATTATCTATCTGGCTCCTAACCCTGGGGGTGCCACTCCAAACGGCACCCCTTTCTGGCTGCCAAATTCCGCTCCGGAGTCCACACTTCATCAATCTTTCCAAACAACACCTAGTTTCCCCAGAACTGGGAATTGTAGTCCTCCGTGGAGCAGGGGCTGATTGCCCCTACTACCTGCTGGTGGCACAGAAATTTTTCTTGCAGACTCGGCAGCTCCGGATTACATTTCAAGTCCTGCAATCCACCGCTTCGCTGCACACCCCAAACTGCCTGTCTAAATTATATTCCACACCTGGAAAGATCTAGCCCACTCACTCCCACCCGTTGTTCCGGGAGAGCTGAGCTAAACATCTGTCCTGTCTTACCATCACGCACCCTTGTTCATTCATTTATAAATGGTTATTTAAAGCTACAGGGCTGAACGAGTCATCTAGAAAGGTTAGGCAAAGATAAGAATACAAGGACAGGCCTGGGACACTTTTAATTAAAACTTGAAAGAGGAGACTTTCCCAGAAAAAAACCAGCAGTGGGGAAGGAAGAAAATCAGGAGAATGTGGTATTACAAAAGGACAGGGGAAAAAAATCAGTTTCAAAGAAAAGATACAATTATTTGTGTCCAATGCTGCTAAGCAGTCAAGAAGATAAGATCTAAGAATTGATGATCATTTGGTAATATGGAAGTCATTGGGGACCTTGAAAAGGGTGAGTTCATTAAAATCTGGTTTTAGGTTTAAAATGACAAAGGTGTGGCTGTGAGATCTGTTTCTAAGACCTCTAAAAGATTTAAAGTGGTACCTCACAGACCCTCTCAGCTAGACAAAAAATAGTCTAGGAATCATAGGTGGCATCTAGGCACTTCCTATTAGAAAGGAAAACTTCTAAAATTATCAGCCCAAGGAAATAGGGTCTGACTTGAAGATATTTAGGAGTGTAACATTTGAGCAATTAAGATCTTAATTTGATACACAAGAGCCCACAAAATCTTCGACAGAATCATAGTATCTTGGACTAAAAGAAACAGGAATAGTTTAAAATGAAAAGACATATTTGAACCCTCAATTTTCTATAGACAAGATATAGATAGACTGTGAAGCTACTCAGCTAGAAACATAAGCTCTTTCTTATGGAAAAAAGGATTAATCAGAGAGCAAAGCGAAGACCTGCGGGTAAAGCCAAGAACTTCAGAATTACTATGGTCCACTGACTGGTATATGCCTCATGTTTTCCATCCCTCCACCTTTAAAATGGGTCTATTTCAGTTTTCCCACTCCTGACTCACTACTATATGTAGGGATCAGATACCTGGTCTCTTCAATTCATAGGTTTTAAGATAGAGGAAAGATAGTCACAGAGCCTCACCTACATAGACCTGATTTAGACAATGAAATTCTATGCTTCAAGTCTGAACCTGATGCAGTAAGAGCATGAGACTGAGGATCCTGAGAGGAAAGTTATCTTTTACATGTGGAAGGAACATGAATTACTTGGGACTACAGATAGTTAATTTCTAAACATGGGCCTCAGTGAACAACACCTCCAAAGATTCACACCATTCTGCAGTCTCCTTCCATACTAATTCGGACTGAGTAGCTAACTGATGCAGCAGAAGTGACCCATTTGCAATCCTAAATCTTATGTGTAAGAGGATCTGAAGCCTGTTTTTGTATGTGGAAGCCCCGAGTTGCCCCATAAAAACTTCAGCTGATCTGTTAGGAAGACCACACAGAGAGACCATACAAAGAGGTCACTTGGAGAGGAATAGGGATAATTTCCAAGATTACATAGAAAGACATATTTTACACACACAAGGGAGTGGGGAGAGACAGACATAACGGATGAGAGAGGGAAAGGGTCATCAAACCAGATGTTCTTGCATCCTCTCCAAGCCTAGACTTAACAGCTGTTCTCAACCAGGTGTCAGACATATAAGTGAGCCATTTTGAGTATTCCAGCCCAATCAAGCTCTTGTATAAATCCGTCAAACATCAAATGGAACAGAAGAACTGCCCAGCTAAATATAGTCAACCCCAAAGAACCTTGAAAGAAAATAAAGTGGTGGTTTTTAAGCCACTATTTTGGAGTAGTTCATTATGCAGCAATAAATTAATCATTTATCAATTAAAATGAAATATTTTTGAGGTTTTTAATTAAAATGAAACAGATTTCCAAGTGATTTAGTAAGGAAATGAAAAGGTAAACTGAAAACAACATGCCTACACAGTGGTGAATATCCTGAAAAGAGCTCATTATAAAACCTAAACAAAACTCCAAGTCTTCAAAAGAAAAAAATAGACAAAGAATATGATCTGTCTGCTCATAGCAGAGAAAATGAAACTGACTAATGAACTTGAGAAAGTTTTTTAATTTTGAGACAGAGTCTTACTATGTTGCCCTCGGTAGAGAGCTATGGCATCACAGCTCACAGCAACCTCAAACTCTTGGGATTAAGTGATTCTCTTGCTTTAGCCTCCCAAGTAGCTGGGACTACAGGAGCCTACCACAACGCCTGGCTATTTTTGTTGTTGCTGTTGTAGTTGTTATTTTTGTTTGGCTGGCCAGGGCCAGGATTGAACTCGCCAGTTCCAGTGTACGTGCCCAGCACCCTAGCCGCTGAGTTACAGGCGCTGAGCATGAGAAAGTTCTAATCATCATTTAAAAGACCAACAGTACTCAATACTGTTGGTGAAAACATAAAGCATTATAATACTTCTAAAGAGCAATTTGTCAATATGACATTCCTTTAAAGATCTTGGGAGATAATAACTGATCCAAATAAATAGGTAAGAAAATGTTAATTTCACACTTATTGTCCATAAAGTCAATATGAAAATGACTTTAAAAATTATAGAACATTCATATTCGAGGGTGTTCTGTATCTTACAAATTTGTAAGAAAATTCATGTAGCAAGCTTATAAAGATGTTAAGGCAATAAGGCATAATATGAAATTATGTATATGTAGTTCTAAATTTTAAAAACACATAAAAGGTACATATGTATAACAAAGACTGAAAGAAAATAAAAATGTTAAATGTGGTGATGAAATTATATTACATGTAATAATTACTTTTATTTTCTTTTTTATGCTTCTCTCCATTTTCTAAATTTTCTATGACCATGTATTACTTTCATATTCAGTAAAAATAAGAATGTTATTCTTTTTAAGTTCCAATTAATACACTACTGACTTAGGTAATTGACAATTCCAAGCTAAAATTATATCTTTTGAAATGTGGAAGGGAATTTAGAAATGACCAAGTCTGATCTAACACTCAAAAGTTAAGAAAATAATTCTAGAGATTTAGATGCCAAAGCTAATCAAAGTATTTAGGAGCAAAGCCTTTTAAGAACTCAAATTCTTTACCTTCTGGCCTGTACATTTTTTAATACTGCTTTATAAGCTATCTATAATGGTGATTCAAACAAGATATAAAGAATTAAGTAAAATAACTGACATTTTGAGAAAGTCTTTATTCTGGTATACCTTTAAATTTACATTTTAAACTATAAAATTATTTAAGAAGAATATATGGTATTTCCTATAAGTTTGATTAAAAATTTCCATTGAAATAACCTCCCAAGCTTTTAAATTACCTTTGAATTTATGTTTTGTTGTTGTTACACTTTCAGCTGAGTTTTACACTAATCTATAAAATTAATTTGTATCACTGACATCTCAAGTCACTTTGCTTTTTCTTCAAACGTTTTTTATCCTCATTACTTAATTAGTATAAATAGGATAGAAATATTTAATATACTTAAGACACACTTCCACTTGGAGACATTTGAATGCATTTTCAATTTATTCGTATTTTTTTAAAAAGTAGATTATCTGATTTTCCTAGTCTTATACTTCTAACGTGAGGGCAGACACTTGTACTTCAAGGTCTTCTTTGGGATCTTGCTTTTGAGAGCTACCTTTTAATTTTGAATCTGGGAAAACTAAGATTGTGCTCTTCCTTTCAGCTAAGCTTTGATAGCGGCTTTGCCACCTACTTTCTGTTGGAGATGAATTTAAGTTTATCCTCCTTATTCTCTCTGGATTTATACAGAAACTTCTCAACTTTACCTCAGGTGGAGATGATTCTGTTTTAGAAACGCTTAGATAGTTGTCTTTCAGTTTTACTTCCGGTAGATATAATAAATTTTTCTCTTTTCTCTCCATGACCTCTGATGGGTGTTGAAAGAAAGGTGGTATATCGTTATTTTCTATGATTTCCAGGCTAGAACTAAGGGACAGTAGAGAATCTGCGGGTGAAGGCGTTGATTCCTCACTTTTAGTAGCAATATCAGCTGAATTTTCTTGGTTTGATAGTTTCAAAGATGGTATGGTCAGGCTTTTCCTATCATCATTATCCAATAACTAGAAAATATAACAATAACATAAGCTACCAATTAATCATGATTGGAAAATATTTAAACTTAATAAAAAATAACTTAAAGTCAATTGTACACTTTTCCTTTATCTTAACAGATTACATTAATATTTATAAATTATTATATTCCTTAATAAAATATATGAGAGATTCTCTTCTTGCCTAAAATCATGGACTGTAGAATCCTTTCTATAGAAAAGATATAGCACGGCTTATAAAGAAGTGGTTGTTATATGCCCAGATTTTGCAAATCAGCAAATGAAATGAAAGCATGCACAAAATGATAAGATTCTAGATCCACAAATGTAAGACACAAAACAGGTATAGACTTTGTAAAAGCTGAGAAAAAATAAAACAAATCCTAGATGGTGAGTGATAGGCTTTGAAAAAGAAACTAAAAAGAAACTAAAGATATATGAAGCCAGAGAAAATATGACAAAAGATTTTGGTGAGAAAGAGTAAAACATGCAGTTAGGTATATGACATTCACTTCCAAAGTCTTATGCAGAACCTCACACCTTTTTTCACTTGTTTCCCCTCTCCTCTTCCCCAATGCCTTTTGTCCCCTATCTCCAAATATATTTTTAAATATTGCTCTTTTATGCTGAAGCCTCTCTTTCAAGAGTGTAACTATACACATATTGCTGTAATAGAAATAACCATAAAACAACTGAAAACTTCTTGGGTTATTTTCTTCACTCATCTATAAATAGTTACCCATTTACAAATATTTCATCCCTTTATAAATTAATGACTATTAGAAGTTCTCTCCCAACTTCACATACCTGAGGTGGAGTAGGTTCAGCTTCTACCTTTATAAGAGGAGGCTCTGTTAAAAAATTAATAGAAATATTTTATTTTATATAAGATTATAAATGCATTATTTATATACATGTATGAACATTAATAAAATACAATTACAGTTTTTCTCACCAAAAACAAAGAGCAACTTAAAGCAGCTATCCTAACACAAATTCTATTTAGTAAAACCAGGCTGATGAGTAACTGGAAAGATAGGAAAGTGGCAATGAACAAAAGTGGAAAATGAAATGAAAACATGCATAAAGTGATAAGATTTCAGATCCACTTTTATAAGACACAAAACAGGTATAGACTATATTTTATAAAAGTAGAGAGGAAATAAAACTAATCCCATATGGTAAGTGTTAGGGTTTGGATTGGAAAAGAAGCTAGAAAAAAGATGTATGAAACCAGAGAAAATAGAACCATTCAAGCAAGGCTGACTAAAACACTTGTAAACTTTTTCTGGAAATATAAGGAATATATATTTAGCAAGTAGAAAAGGGAAACCTAAAAGAGACAAAAAGAAAATAAAAATTTGAGAGATAAATAAATGCATAATTCTACTAACAATTCACTAAATTACAATTAGCTGCATGGCTTTCATCAGCTCTTTTCCTTTCCTTTTCTTTTTTATTAAATACAAAAATACTTCATTGCTGGGGGTGAGGGGGGGCGGTGGAACGGATATTGGTGTGCTCCCACTTAATGGGCTCAATGTAAGGGTATATGGCACATCTCTTGCCTGCTGGAGGAAATGATAAGAGGGGCTCTACCTAGCAAATGCAAACATGTAGCCTAGTGTCTGTACCCTCATATTAACCTGAAATTAAAATAAATACTTTATTAAATGCTAACAATAATCTAAGTTGTCAAAGAGTCAAAATGTTTTTGCTTTTTCTTTCTTTAATTGCAGTGAGAACACTTAGTTAAAGTGTAGAGAGATCTAGCCTCTTGATAGAATTTTAAGTGTAAAATACAGTAATGTTAACTATAGGTACAATGTTGTATAGCAGATCTCTCAAACTTCCTCATCTTGTATAAGTGAAACTTTATACTTCTTGAAAAGTAATTACCCATTTTCCCCTCTCCTAGCCTCAGGCGTTAGTCTGTTTCTGTGTGTTTGATTATTTCACATACCTCCTATGGGTGGCATCATGCTGTGTTTGTCTTTTAGTGACTAGCTTATTTCACCTAGCTCAAGGTCCTTAAGGTCCACCCAGGGTGGCAGGATTTTCTTTCTTTTTTTTTTTAATGTGGAATAATATTCCATTGTATAGTTACAATGTTTTATTGTTGTTTTATTGCATTTAGCCTTATTGCACTTCATAGATACTGTGGTTTTCCATTGTAACTATACAATGGAATATTATTCCTTGTTTTATTGCATTTAGCCTTATTGCACTTCATAGATACTGTGGTTTTC